TTTTAGCATTGAAATTTTAATGTGTAAACCTGCAATAGTCACATTGTAGGATGTGCAATGTGGAGTCAGGATTGAAGTTTACCAGGTACAACAATTTAGAATTTTGGAGCCATTTTAGTTCAACCATAATAAAGTGAAGGCCTGTGTAAACATTTTAAGCATTTGGCCACTTTGAATTATTACGTTCATAGCTTTAACATAGATTAATTGTATTTAATTATTTACAATGAAGCATATGCAGCTTTATTGTTCATATTGTAAATGTAAACGTTTAGACTCCTTTATTTCTGTATTTGCTCTACATTATTTATCTCTGCTTGTAATTTGTTGATTATATTTTATGCAATCCCCTACTAGATTATCCCAATCAATCTAAAATTATTAAGTTATCTTGAGATAAATCGCAATAAAAAAAGCAGAAAATTTGAAATCAAAATGTAATGTTTTTGTTGTTGGCACACATTGTCATTCTTTAGGTAAACAATTAATCCAGTTATAAAGTTATTTCACTGAATAAAAAAAAATTATTTTAATAATCTTTGATCAAAATCTAGCGGTTTTCCCTGTTGACGTGAGTTTGACTGCTTCAGTCTTGATATTGTTAACCACTCCCCACATTCTGCTAGTTTACGATGAGGAAATTAATGATGCGCAAAAAAAAAAGCCTCGGCCCAACTTAATCTTCCATTTTAGTAAGAAGTACATCAACATGCTAAAAGTCACAGCAACTTCTGGTTCACATATTCCAATGACTTACATTAAAGGATTTGAGACTTACAATAAATGATTTACAACTTACGATAAAATACTTTTAAGCACATCAGGCAATTGACAATGGAATGGAAGAAATGAAAGAATAGAAGAAAAATGTTTGCATTGGAATTCTTTAGTCTAACGATTCTGAATTGATTCTCAAATGTTCAGAATCTATTCTGTATTAAAATTAGGAATCTGTAGGCACGAGCTCTAAACAAAAAAAAAAAAGTGTTTATGCACATATGCATGCTGCAAAATCTGCTTTACTTGGACAGAAGAATTATTATAGGCACTGCGCTTCTGATCCATTTTGCTGCTGCATACTGTGTCTTGCAAAATAACTAGTAAAAGTTGTAAAGATGAAAATGCACAGCAGAAGACATAGGAAAAATGTAGGTTGAGAATTTAATCGTATCGTGGCCCCTCGAATTGGAATCATGACCCCAGATTCGAAATCGGATTGTGAAGTTTCTAAAGATTCCTACCCCTACAGGCCATATGTATACATGCCAATGTGCATCTCTGAAACCAAGCAGTGCTGAATTTCTTGTACATAAATCATTCATTCATTCATTCTCCTTCGGCTTAGTTCCTTATTTATGAGGGGTCACCACAGTGGAACAAACCACCAACTATTCCAGCATATGTTTTACACTGCGGATGCCCTTCTAGCTGCAACCAAGTACTGGGGGAAACTCCCAAACACTCCCGCAATCACACATAGACTATGGTCAATTTGTATTTATTTACCCAATTCACTTAGTGTCTGTGGGGGAAACCGTAGCATGCGGAGGAAACCCACGCAATCACAGAGAGAACATGCAAATTCCACACAGAAATGCCAACTGACCCAGCCAGGACTTGAACAAGTGACAATCTTGCTGAGGCGGCAGTGCTAATCATTAAGCCACCGTGCCGCTTTGTCCAAAAATCTGTTACGATTTTAAAATGGATGCTAAAATATGAACAAGCAATCAAGCCATGTTAAGAAATCAATAAGACAACAAAGTATCTCCACTTTGCTTCTTGTGTTTGGTATAGCTGATTGTTTGTGATGTTTTTAGGTTGATAATATAACTGTACCAGTACAGCGGAGCAAAGTAGTGGTGATATTATTATTTATTTTTGTTTGATTACATTGTTAAGATGTCAGATCTGTTTTATGCAACAGCAAAATATGGCTGTTCATTGTATTTATGTATATTATATCATATTAAATTGCACAGCCCTAACAGTCACAGCGAAACTATAATAAACATATCTTAAAATGACTGCCAAATAAGTACAAATTGTAATGTATTATCTACTCACTCAAAATTTTAACTAGACAAGATAGATTTAGTTTTTACCAACCAAACTGTTCTCGGTGAATTTTTTTTAAACATAAAGACATATTTCAGCTATAGCATTCAGTGCTTGTTATAATCCAGAGGTGTCAAAAACTCAGTCCTGGAGGGCCGGTGTCCTGCAAAGTTTAGTTTCAACCCAAATCAGACACACCTAGGCTAGCTAATAATGCTCTTAAGCTTTCTAAAAACAACCTTGCAGGTGTGTTGAGGCAAAGTGGAGGTAAAATCCCCAGGACACCAGCACTCCAGGACCGAGTTTGGACATCTCTGTTATAATCAAACTACACTAAAAAAATGACTTTTGCTGCTTGTTTAAATTACTTACTAAAAATGAGTTAAAGCAACACAATACTTAAGTTTTTTTGGACAAATTAATTGTTTTATGTCCATTTATTCATTCATTCATTCATTCATTTTCTTGTCGGCTTAGTCCCTTTATTAATCCGGGGTCGCCACAGCGGAATGAACCGCCAACTCATCCAGCAAGTTTTTACGCAGCGGATGCCATCTCTGAGAAACATCCACACAAACATTCACACACTACGGACAATTTAGCCTACCAAATTCACCTGTACCACATGTCTTTGGACTGTGGGGGAAACCGGAGCACCCGGAAGAAACCCACGCGAAGGCAGGGAGAACATGCACACTCCACACAGAAACGTCAACTGAGCCGAGGTTCGAACCAGTGAGGCGACAGCACTATCTACTGCGCCACGGCCTCGCCCGTTTTATGTTCAATCCACTTAAATTTGTAAAAATAACTAAGTTAACTTACTTGATTTGTGTTGGGACAACATGAGGGAATTTTGTGGAACCCAGCATTTTTTACAGCGTATCGAAGTGTATTTAAAAAGAGTGATGTCTGTTTCTCTTTTCATTTATTAGGTTCAGTGGTAAGTTCATTGACTTAATAAAAATTAAGTGATGATGACTACAACTACAATGAAAATATACTGACATTTTCGTTGACTAATAAAAAAAAGAGACGAGAATGTGATTGGGGGACTTTTTTTGGAAAGCAAGATCCCAATCAGGATTAATCTTGGTGTGTGATCCATGATACACACGAACTTAAAAAGTAATTTATCCACAGTAGACGCGGGATGTGATTAAATCATCATAACAGTAAAGTAGATTTAGTCGACAAAAATCTTAGGAAATTTAGTTGACTAAATCTAAAATTATTCATAAGACTAAAATTTGACTAAAACTAAAATGAAATGTGGGCATCATGGTGGCGCAATGGGTAGCACGATTGCTTCACAGAAAGGAGATCGCTGGTTTGAGCCTTGGCTGGGTCAGTTGTCATTTCTGTGTGGAGTTTGCATGTTCTCCCCGTGTTCATGTGGGTTTCCTCCGGGTGCTCGGGTTTACCCCACAAGTCCAAAGACAAGTGGTACAGGTGAATTGGGTACAATAAATTATCCGTAGTGCATGTGTTTTAATGGATGTGTATGGATGTTTTCCAGTGATGGGTTGTAGCAGGAAGGGCATCTGCTGCGTAAAACATATGCTAGATAAGTTGGTGGTTCATTCCGCTGTGGCAACCCCGGATTAATAAAGGGACTAAGCCCAAAAGAACATGAATGAATGAAATGGAATTTTAGTCAAAAGGCTAAAACTAAAACAAAAGTTTGCTGTCCAAATTAACACTGATTAAGTTTTGTATGATCCTTTTCATTTAGAAATACTGGTTCGTTCCTATTGTTTACATAATTTAAAGCTAATAATTCACCCAAACATGAAAATGTACTCCATTACCTGACTGGTTCTAAACCTTTATGAATTCAAACACAAAAGCAGATATTTTGAAGAAAGCCGAAAACCGGTAACCACTGCCATCCATAATAGTAAAAATAAAAATACTATAAAAGTCAATGGTTACACATTTCCACCTTTCTTCAGAATATCTGCATTTGTGTCAAACTTGTTGCAAACAAGTGGAGGATGAGTAAATGATCAGTTTTGGGTGAACTATCCCTTTATGCATCCTAGCTTGACCAAAAAACACAACTAAAATCTTGTCATGCCAATCTATAAACATACAACATGCAATAAAACACTTTAAAAAGGACGAATGACCCAAAGGGCACATGTTTAATCAAATGCAGATTTCCTTTAACCCACCGTCAAGTTACATGGTTGACATTTGCTCATATTTACAACAAAAGCCAGAGCTGCGAATGTCACATTTTCCAACAAAATACTGCCAGCATGAAGTCTGAACCATAGAAACAAGACAAACACAGAAGCCATCGAAGACGTGATTGACCAACAGCTGCCATTGAAAAAAATTATGCTGCAGTGCAATTGTGCTGTAAGTCTATGGAGAATATGCATTGAAATGTATGCATTTTATACAAGCCTATTTCGCAAATAGACGATAAGGATTTATCCAGAGCCAAGTCGTTCGTTTAACAGCAGTAAACGTGGCAAATGGAGTGATATAACGTTGCTGTAGTGAGGACGGGGGCGTTGCATTGCACTCCCAAGGTAAAAGAAAACAGACACTCATCAACATATTTTTAACACATTGTAACCCCTAATTAGATGCGAATACACCCATAAAGTGGCGCTGACTATTTATGACCAGTGAAAGCTGTCAGAAATATTAAACATTGTAATGGCTGTAGGATTAGACAAGACTGACAATAAAAAACAACAAAAGCAAGCAGTCTGTAAATATAGAATGATATGACATTAAACAAAAACGAGATTTACCGACGTATATATACAAAAACGGTTCAATTCAGCGATGAAAATACAACATAAAACACTTTTAAAGTTCAGAATAGCGGACTGAAGTTTAACGCAGCGTTAGCTGGCTAGGCTAACTGGCACAGCACTGCGGCTCAATGGAAGAAAACAACAGGAAAAAAGTAACTGGCAAACCTGACTGGCTTTGTAAAACTGCTTCTTTAAGCCCGCCACGGACATCTTCAAAGCGTAATCCTCTCTTCTCGACGAAAAAAAAGACTTGTAAAGTAGGTTTGTTACTGACACAACAGTGTGGTAAAAGTCAACGGTCGCTGAGTGAAATATAACACTCAAGTCCTCAGATAAACGACACCAACTGCACAAAAGTATTCCAGGTGGCGGTTGGGAAAGGTTTTAGCAAACTTTGTTATTAACTGTTTTTAAGGTGGCTTTCTACTACAAAATGACTTTAATATGGTTACTAGTGCAGCCACCGCATTTGTAAGTCTTGAGAAACTAGCGGTTTCCTGCGCAACGCAAGCACATTCCTTGCGCGAATGGAGAATGGACTGGAAACAGGACAGCAGCGCCCACTGCCGGCCAGATCAAACATTGCAGCCATTGATCAAGTGCTTGTATTGTCCAGAAGATGGAGCCAGATTTCTATTAGTGCAGCTCGTCTTTTATATGAAGTTGACATGGCCTTGGCAGCAAATGGTTTCTGAGCACAGCACTTATGCTGTTAGATCAAATCAATAAATGTAATAGATTATTTTTTCTCTCTTGAACATGTAGTTTTTATTTTAATCAAGTTTCAATTTTCATGTAGTTTTCTCAGCAGAATAAAGACACATTATATGTTCATGTCATTCAGTAGCCTGTAATGTTAGATTAATACAAATGTATTTTAAACAATAATACAATATTGGCATATTAAAAGACCACTTTATGATACTAAATATATAAGTTAAAATGCCAATAAATGCCTTTTCATTTTCAACATAGTAATACAGATTATTTTGTTGTTTTTTTCCTCTTGAGCATGTAGTTTTTAGTTTTTTTCTCCGCAGAAAATGAAAAGAAGTCACCAACTAAAGGTTCATGTGATTCAGAATAATGTTAGATTAATACAAATTTAATCAATAATAGAATGATGACATCTTATTGAAAGACCATTTAATGATACTGAATATATATGTGAGCAATTCCATGCAAATGTCAACCTTGCCATGAAAAAAAAATAAAGTTTTTACCAAAATACGGATATCGTTACTAGGTTTTTTTGTGTAGGAAATATTTTACAGTACTTAAGAAATACTCAAAAATGTCTCTGTCAATGTTTTCAAACTATTCTGTTTGATTTAACAAAGTCATACAAGTGGCAATTTCACATCTGTCACATCCATAACGACACTTTATCCTCATAAATTAAAAAAAATTATTAAAATTAAATCAATCATTTTTGTTGAGCCAACTCTTATCCTTTTGATTAGCACTGTTTTTTTTTTGGGTCTGGCAAATTAATTTACATAATTTCTACAAAGTATGTTGTATACTGTAAAATAAAATACTAATAAATGTAAATTTTTATATAGTAAAGCAGATTTTTTTCCCTTTTGAACAAGCATTTTTTTTTCTCAGCTGAAAATGACCAAAAGTCATCAAGTCATTTAGTATAATGTTAAATTATTACAAAAATATTTTCAACAAAAATGACATATTAAAATATTACCATTTACCAAATATTACCATTAATGATACTGTATATATATATATATATATATATATATATATATATATATATATATATATATATATATATATATATATATATATTATTGATCATTTATATATCATTTTCATATGTCAGGTATTTTAATACTTCAAAATATTATATTATTTAATAAAAAATATAACTTAAATACAGTTACCATATCTGTTAAGCTAAAAGCAATGAAAATAAGTTCACTCATATTTTGACATTTGTTTTTGCAAAGAAGAATATATGTAATAATAAAAATAAAAATAATGTAATAATCAATTTTCAGAAGACTAAAAAAAAACATTAATTTTAGGTTCAGCATTGAAACCATACACACACACACACATACATATATATATATATATATATATATATATATATATATATATATATATATATATATATATATATATATATATATGCACATACTTGAGTCTGTGCGTGTTTTAAAATGTAATTGTTCATGTATAAAAATGTGTCACCATAATGAGAATGGACATTATTTGAAATATAAAGTTAACACTTGCATTTAATGTTATATAAGTGTATATAGTCACTTGTGTAAAATTAATTTAGACTTTCTTGTAGCAAAGTTAGCCTTAACAAATAATATTTTAAAAATAAAGTATTTTCTGAATAAAATTATTTCATTCAAATAACATGTACTGACCCCAAACTTTTAATTGGTTCATAAACACATATTCTTACATTAAATGTGCTCTACTGTTATAATTGACCTTTTATACTATACTTCAGTTTAGGGATAAAATATGTGGAGTTTTGAGATTGTCACACATTGCATTTAAAAAAAAAGTGCAATAAAAATGTCATTTAAATGTATGGGATTTTCCTGTAGTAGCCACAAAACACTCAGTATAAAGTAAAAAGACCTTTATTACATTCTTGAATCCATGTGTTTAATCCTCATTGTACAATAATAACATTTTAATTTATTCTCTGTATCCGTAATACACCATAAATTATATTCTTTAAAATCTATAGCATGATTCATTTATTTAAAGTTAAAACTGAAACAACCACAACAGGATCATGGCAAAGAATGAGGACTCTTTAGGGGATTTTCTGCTTAAAAATGTTCTTTAAAAAAATAGGATTTTAACTCTTCAAGACAAAGTATGACACTAGACGGGTGAGGAAAAGTTACAGAAAAAGACTAAAATGAAAGAAAACGTCACAAAAAAACAAACAAATAAAAAACACAAACAACACTAGAATCAAATATTAAATTCATCCTCAAATATATATATTTATATCTATATACCTTTGAATATATTTTTGATCCTATTGTTTTTTTAAGCAAGTCAAACTGAAAATGTCCTCCAATAGCACTGATATAAGACAGGGGTAAAAAGTCTTTGATACTTTTGTGATTAACATTCACAAGAAAAGTTACCGTACACAGTGATCAAGGTTTAAGGTCTTCTATTTGGTGCAAGGTGTCTTGCTAGGCTAACTGAAGAAGACATTTTAGGACAGAGAACCCAGCTATCTCCCTGAGTGACTGAATTTAGATGTAAACGCATACTTCTAGAACTACCCCAAAGGGTGAGCGCTTGTGGCAGTTAGCGTGTTGCACTCCACAAAAAAAAAAAACATCTAAAAATCGAAACGGTTTTTACAAAGCACTCGCACTTTGTTACAATCTTTCTCTGCCTCACACGTCAATTTAAGTCAGTTAATACTAGACAAGCATACAAAAATAAAGACAAATTTAAGTGTAGACAACTTGAAGCGATGAGGTGTTAAATGATCCGAGCTGGAGTGCTTATGAAATTCAAGGAGGTTTGTGAGAGCTGTCAATACTAAAAATGGAAAGACTGACTATTGCACAGGCAGACATGACGATACTGTATTAAGCACCCAGAAAATGTGTATTACACCAACCATATAAAATCTTACAAGAAAATATACAGTTAGGCACTGTTCCAGCAGTGCTAAAAAAAATAAACATAAAGGCGAGCTTGTTAAGTTTAACTGTCAGGAAACAGGAGGTTGATTCTTATCAGACATTCGAAACATCTTTCATACCCTGTAATCTCCCAACTTTAGTTGGCATTCCGGTTTCTGGGCCACTCCTAAATCTCCCCTGAGACAAATCTGGACTTCCTGATTCCGAAAAAAAATGGAGGCTGCTTTCACTCTGTGGATAGTTTATGTAACCTCTCTGGGGCCTACTAACCTCACACAGAGTGGGATTCAAACCGGCACTTCCGACATGGGAGTCATGCGCACTAACATGAGCACTAAAACACTGCAGCCTTTAGGATCAGTTAGCTATTGTGACTCTTGAGGCCAGAGGATTGAGTCTTACTCCGCTACTATCACCCTGCTAAACTGTACCTCCATCCGGGTCACGGCACCACTTTAACCACTCCGTTGCCTAGCCTTCAAATGGGATTGGAATCAGCATTAACGTTCCTGAAGGACCACCAACAATGCATGTTTTGGATGTCTCCTTTGTCGCACCTAAAGTCTGTGCAAATGAGCTGACGATCTGAATAAGATGTGTTTGGTTAAGGATACATGGAAAATGTGCAGAGCTGGTGGTCCTCCAGGAATGTGTGCGAGCAACGATGAACTAGACTGCATTCTCTGCATAATGAAAGTGAGATATATTTTCAAAGCTTTAACTAGCTGGTCTTTGTTACATTTACCCCCTTAAACCCCACTTTCATCTGGGTCACGGCATCAATTTAACACTCATAGACCTATTTAACTAATTCCAAGCAGGATTTGAGTATGCATTTCTGCCATTTCTTGGAGATGTGCACTCTAATGGATGCCAAGGACCTCATCTTCCAGCACCAATTGCTAGTGTGGCCCTTGAGGTCGGAGAGTGATGTTTACACAGTATTGGCCTCAGTTGATCTAGCAATGTTTTTGCTCCTTAACATTTTGAAACACAAACTAACTGTTTCCCAAACTCAGGGGGGTAGCTGATGGCTCTGTCAATAGTTGTGCTATATGTGAACACTTAGGGTAAAGTGGATGAGGGAGGGGTTATCACACAGCAACACAACACTGATCTCTGCATCAGACACTATGCAATGCATGAGGTATGGCCTGTGATTCCACTTATCCTCACAGCCGAAACAGAAAAAAAAGTACAAATAATCATGTTTCCGTTGTGTCCTCGTGACTCTCTGCAAGCCCAGTTATCAGTTTTTGTCTATAGAAATATGGTTCCTTCCATCCACTTCCATGTTTTGTCTTCTCCTGATCCCAGCAGTCCTTTGAGTGGTTTGCTACACACTCACAAGAAGGGTCGAACTTCAGTCTCCCACATAGTGGCATTGTCTTTTCGCCATCTGATTATGGGGCAACAGAAAAGTCCTGCTCCGGCAAAGTCCTTTAATGTTGGAGTATTTAAGTGCTGTCCGCCTGCATCTACAGAAGATCTAAAGCTTTCGAAATCAGCTCCAGCCCAGAATTCACTCCTGAAGGGGCTTGAAAAACATTCGTTCTAAGGTGCAACTTTCTATCTAACTAGTCCTCCACCGCTATCTACAGGCTCTGTTTATAAATATATTCTCAGATACATCTATCGTTCTACACACATGTAGTTTCTGATCAAATAAGGATATCAAAATAGTATCTAATATCTGTATCCAAGTGGCATCCAAGTGTGTGGGAAAGGGTAAAAAGGATGAGGTGTTTGTTAGCTTAGTTGCATCTTTTAAAACAAAACATC